TACCTACCAAGAAAACTGAGCTTGTTGAATTTAGGAAGTGGGTTCTATAGATGAGTTACAAATTTTTCCCACCCAAATAACAGGTTAATGTACTTTTTCATCTGTAGATTTTTATTATCATTTTACTATCCAAATTTGTATTCTACGCCGATCAAAGAGTATGCTCGTCAGGTTGTTAGGTTTTATGAAGAGAGAGACTATGAGTCTTTTGGGGGTGGAATGTTAGATTTCGGTGTTAGTATTGATCGGACTTTGACTTAGGAGGGGCCGTTGAACAAACTTTAATCACTCAATTGTCGACGATTGGCGGCGTTGGCGAAATGAGGTTTGAAAGATTTTGGTGAGTGATGATCGGGAGAGAATGATGTGTTGTGGGTTGCAACGATGCTCAAATTAGAAACGGAATATAAATTTGAGAATGGTGGTGTTGCAACGATACTGAAATTGGAAACGGAATATAAATTTGGATAATAAAATGGTATTTTAAAAGTCAGTGGGTGGGAAAATGTCATTAAACCATTATTGTGTGGGAAAAAGTGGTTTACTCTTCTATAAATATTCTTCCATGTGATGCAGCAGATAATATAATTTATGAGAAATACAATGACATATGTTAATCACATATTTATTAAATTTTCCCTTTTATTTTTTTCATCTTCATGGTCCGTGAATAAATTACTTATTAATATTCATCAATAACCATCACTATAGTAGTTCTGAAAATTATATTACATGTCTTTTATTTATTTGATGGTTTCATCATGTCAACTCTGTTTTAAAACCTGGACCGGCTGGCCGCTCAAATCAGACTGGGCAGTCTCTTCGGTCCGCTTTAGGTTTTAGGGGTTTTTTGTTATTTTCAAACTTATGGGGACAATGTGACGTATTTTGCAATATTTCAAAATTTAGGGACTAACGTTATTTGGGGCATTTTTGAAATAAATGAAAATTTTAAGTCCTAAATGGCAATTTTAGCGGTATTTTCGTAATATAATAAATTTAGGGACTAGTTTACAATTTTTAACACTATTTTTATTGTTGACATCATCGGTCAGCCTGTGACCGATCAACTTATTGGGTTTTACAATGGATCGGGTTTTAAAACTACATGTCAACGAAGTTGTCCCATGTAATTGACCGTCTCAAATGAATAGCTGAAATCAGCAATTAAAATTTGTAGACAAAAACAAGTCAAGGATGAGTTTAATCTATATATTTTCATCAAATAAAAACTCTCTTTACAATTATTGTTCCTTATTTTACGATTACAATTATCTTTTGACTAATGGGGGAAGGAGATAGATCTACTAATGAACACAAGCCTTATTGTAAGCATCTGAAACAATAAAAATAAGAAACTATTACGAAATTGGAAGTGATTTAAATGAATAAAAATGGTTGTAAAAAATAAGGTACTAGCTCATCAGTATTAGGGGTGTTTGGTTCCGGGTACCCTGCATTTTTTTAAGGAACTGAAATTGGAATCAAAATCGACAGTTCTGGTTCCGATTTCTAGGTGCCCAGAACCGAAACCAGATCTGGAACCTATAATAACGGTTCTGGTTCTGGTTTTGGGTACCCTGTAAAATTATCATTACCCGCCAAAAGTTTTTAAAATGGTAAAAAACCCTTAAAAACTTAAAATACCCCCCCACCAGACACTTGTTAACAAAAATAAAATTATAAATTCAAAATTATAAACTCCATTACTTTGTAAAGGTAGATTCTCAAAAGTCAAACTAACTTACTTTAAATGTTATGAAATATAAATAGATTACTTTTTCTACAAAAGTTTTTATTAACCCCCATATTCTTTAATTTTATTTTATATTAGTCTCGGTTCCTGGTTTCAGTTCTAATTCCTATAGCTAGGAACCAGAGCCAAACCCCAGGTACTCACCGGTTATGGTTCTAATCGGTTCTTTTGAACACCTCTAAATTTAGTATTACGACCAATACATATATAACATGATATTAGAAGTGTCTAAAAAGCTGCTTAACAATTGCAAGATTTTCAATTACAAGAGCAACTGAAAGTGTATTTAGTCTCTTCTCCTTCGGATCCTACGCCTTCTCCTTCTTTGCCTTCTGTCCTGTTCAGCCTCTGAACTTGATGACTCTGATTCTGATTCTGAAGCAGGTTCTGCTGCTGCATGATAAGCCACGGCATCTTTTTCAGGTATTCTCGCAAATTAATTGGAACACCACCAAGCCCAATGGACGTGAAGAAGTTAATGCAAAATAATGTGTTCTTCGGATTATCCTTTGAGGAAAAGGGATTCATACAAGTCTTCCACTCTGGGATCCGTGATCCTCTCCTTCAGCAATCGAATCCCAAGCTCCCCCAACAATTCCTGAAACAGAAACTTCAAAAATGTCCTGGAAGAAGAATTTGTATCCTCCTCAGTCAAAAGTACATACCCCATAACCCGCCATGGCAGAGCATCTACACCCAGTAAATCGGCAAAAAACCATTGCAACATTAAGTAATTTCTTCATTTCCAGGCGATGAACCATTGACTATTGTTGGACGAAGCATTTCTCGAAGTTTTGTATACAGATTTTTTTGATAATGCAAAACCGCTGCCCCAAAATAGCATAATGCCTAGAATTATAAGTTCACTCTTGACTGCAACACTCCAATATCATACAGCAAATCTCCATCTCTTGACCCGGGTCGAGTTTGTGGCCCGCCTCTTCGAAATCTTTACTGGACATGATTGTTAGATGGATCGTCCTCTGAAGATTCACGAGGTTCGTTTCAGTTTCATCTTCTCTCCATCTCTACGTCCCTCGTATTTTTTTCTTTTGCTTCCTATTGGCTTCATCTCTCTCCAACTTCTACACGTTCAAAATTTAAGAATGCTTTGAAAATCAGAGTACCTTAACGAGAATAACACTTGGGATGCGTTTCGTTCATAGAATATTGTATTACTGAAAAAATATATTACCTTGACGTAGTGTTTGGTTCGAGGTCATAAAAGATAATATTGGTAATCTATCTTTTAATCTGACAATTACCACGTTTAGGTGTCAAGTAATCAAAGATTCTAGTAATCCACCAATACCAATAATGATTACTATAGGTAATATAGATGGTAATTCGACAATCGTCTGAAAGGGTGTTATTTTTTTAGTTATCGGGATAATCTACTGTTCATACTAATTTTACCCTTAATTAATAAACATTTTGGATACAAAGGCTCTTATATGTCTATTAAATAACAATTAGCCCAAATGTGCGAAATGATATTTTTAACCTTATAAAATAATTTTTTGGACAAAAGTACCCTACTATTTACATGAATAATACCCAAATACCCCCAGTCACCAAAGACGACTGTTGGCCGTTGTCTGTAGTTATTAGAACGGCACGCGACCGGTTGGATTTGGCCGACTGTGCGCCATCTGGTTGTTTTTGGCCAGATTGAACACGGGAAACAACTAGTTGGCCATGGATTTGGTAAGAAACGGCTAGAACTAATAGCCATTTTTGACTAGATCTAGGGCTGTTGACGACCACAGATATAACTGTTAATGGCCAGATCCATGGCCAATTGGTTGTTTTCAGCCTTCAATTTAGCCGTTTCCAGCCAGATCGACGTATGGTCGGCCAGATCTAGCTAGTTGTCCACTATTTTGTGACTGTTGATGGTGGCTGGTAGTGGTGGTTGGCGGCCGACAATCATCTTGGATGGATGAGGGTATTTTGTTAAATTTTAAACTTTTGTTATTGGGGGTATTTTAGCTAAATTCTCAAATGTAGGACTTTAAAATTAATACTCTAAATAATAATAATAATAATAATAATAATAATAATAATAATAATAATAATAATAATAATAATAATAATATTAAAAAGAAAGGGCAATTCAGTAAAAACCCCTCCGATAATATTTTATTCATTTCAACCAAAGATATTAATTATTTATACTCACCAATATAACTAAGCATATTAGTATAACATTTCCCATTCTATTTCAGTGGTAATTCTATCTTTTCAATAATAAAAAATTTCCTGAGCCAAACGCTACGAAAAAGTTCAACTTTCTTACCCTACACCTTTCTAGAGAAACAAGTTTATATATATAATTGCATGCACCAAGTATTAACTAGATTTTCACTTATTCTCCCTCACTAATTAATTTCTTTTCATTACATATCCCCAACCCCTTTAAATTTCAAATATCCAAGCTCCTCTTTTATCAATAGAAAAAAGTAAAATAGTAGCAATTAATTTTCATAGGGAAGACTAAAAGCAATTAACAAGAGAGGGAAGTGAGGAAGAAATGAAATTAGTATCCATGGGAGAAGGAAGCAAGGGGAGGCGTGTGGATAAAAAGGTTAGGGGAAAGTTAGGGGTCATTTTATAGATTTGGTGGCTTCTGTTTTATCAATAAATAAAAATAAAAAAGCAACAATTAATTTTCATGGGGAAGACTGAAAGCAACGAATGGAGAGGGAAGTGTGGGAGAAATGAAAGTAGAGTCCATTGGAGAAGGAACCTAGTGGAGGCTTGTGGATAAAAAGGTAGGGGAAAGTTGGGGTTCATTTTATAGATTTGGTGAAAATTTTCTTGGTGAAGACTGAAATGGAGAAGTTATGAGCATTAGAGAGGTTTAGGAGTGAAGATGAAGATGAAGATTGGTTCTTTCTAGGTGACTCGNCAGACGCATGTTAAGTAAGTAAATGAATTAAATGAATTATTGTTAAGAATCTCTGAGAAACATTTCTTTTCGGCTACCAGTTAGAGAGATGTTTAAGATTTACTTCTATTGCTCATTATATGATAGTAAAATCGATGACTTCTTAAGTCCTACAGTTATGGGGAGCTTTTAATATGTCACATCGCTTGGTTAGAAAGTAATGGTTAGCTTCATTAAAGTCATATCCTTTTTTTTTTTTTTTTTTTTTAATAATGATTAACTAATACTTCACAGTCATACACGGTGTGTATAAATAGAGGCATTGGGAGTGCAACTACAACCTCATACAAGTCATTCCACCCAACACTTGTCCTGAAAAACCTTCCTAAACCAAAATGGCTCTTTATTGTCAGGTTACTTCATCGCCTTCATTAACTTTTAAAAGATTGCCGCCTTTAAACAGCTCCTTAGTTGGATCATTCGGCAACATCGTTGGTCGAGCTGGTAGATCAGTACTCAAATGTATAGCTGCAACCAAAACGTCCGACGAAACCACTGTTAGACGATCAGCCAATTACCCACCTTCCATTTGGCCACATGATTTTGCTCAATCACTTACCAGTAACTATGTGGTATATTTCTGTTGTCACTTAACTTTTATTTCTTATACTTATAGAAGCATATGTATTTATAAGCAATGTTTTAAAACCCAACCCGGGATGAAACCCGGCAAAGTTGTCGGGTCCCGGGTTGACCGGTTGGCAAAAACTTCTAAAATTCAGCAAATATACCCCTAAAAATTAAGTTAAGTCTCTATAGGTTTAAATTTTAGCAAACACACCCCAAATACAAATCAGCCGGTGACTAGTTGGCAACAACGACACCTCAGATGCAAGTCCAATCGTCCCTTAGCCAATTCTCCTTAAAATATACCCAAGATCTGACCGAAATAGGTTCGATTTCGGCCAGATCTTATCGACGCGGGCGTCGACAACCCTCCCCATCACCCAAAAATTACTTCCCTCTTCCTCCTGACCAAAACCCACCTCACCCCACCCCCGTTAGCCTCGCCAATTGCTGGCAAAAGGCAGTTGTTCCTGCTTCTAGTTTTGTTCGATTTTCGATCGATTTACTCATGGGAAATTAACTCTATTACCACCATTACATTCACCGGCACTTCCTCTTCAAAAGCCCCAACATCCCTGCCGTCAATTGTTTGCCAATCATCCTCCCAAGTCCTAGGGTTTTGGGTGAATAGGAAAAATATTAACCCAGCCCATTGAAGCTTCCAGGTCTCGGTTGAACCGGTTAAACTGGCTAGGTCGAGCTGGGTTTTAAAATATTATTTAGAAGTTATTAAACTTAATTAGTTCTGATATATGCAGGGAGAACCGTTTGCCAAACGGGTTGAAAAGCTTAAGGAAGAAGTTAGGTTGATGCTTAATTCGGTGGATCCATTACATCAACTAGAGCTTATCGATGACTTGGAAAGACTTGGAGTATCTTATCACTTTCAGGAGGAAATAAAGAGAATCCTTAATAAGATACACAACAATAATTCCAGCAATTATAACAAAAGAAAAGAAAGTTTACATGTAGTAGCTCTTGAATTCAGACTTTTAAGACAACATGGCTATGATATACCTACAGGTACATAATATATATCTATCACATACACAAAAAGTTGCGATCTATAGTCATTTATACACAATTTTTCTACCAAATATAAAATTTATTGGATTCGTGAGATTCTTTTATAGTGCAATGTGATGGAAAAAGTAATTAATTTCCCTTTCATTCTTGCATCCTTTTTCCAGAAATTTTTGAAAATTTCAGGGATGAGAAAGGAAACTTCAGGCCATGCCTCAAAGATGATTGCAGAGGAATTTTNTCCATCCTCCACCTTCCTTCTTCCTTCTCCCATCCATTCACTCTTTTCTTTTTTCTTTCTTGCGTTTTTTTATAGCTCCGTTGTGACTCAAACACTCATGGGTTGGTTTTGTTTTTTTGTCTTTCTCAGTAAAGAGAGTTTCTTTTTTTCTCTTTTCATTTTTTTTTTTTTTACTGGTTTGGATCTGTTATTGAATGTGGGGGTTTGTGTTTTGACACGGGAAGTTTAATTTGGGTCATTGATTTTTGTTTTAACAATCATAGATCTGTTACCGGTTTGGATCAGTTTTTTTTTTTTTTTTCAATAATTCGTGAATAATTCGCAAATTATTCGCGAATTATACGGATATTCCAACAATTCGCGAATAATTCGGCAACCATTGTCAAAATACATATATACGCATTTTATACGTGAATTATACGGTTAGCCGTATAATTCACGTATAAAACGCGTATTTACTAACTAAGGTTTGAATGCACTTATACAATTGTCATTAATACACATCCAACTTATCAAAATAGTTAGACTTTTGGAATGCCAATATAATGTACTTATATAATTATTATTAATACTCATTCAACGTGTGAAGGTGAAGCAATTAATTCAAAACCAACATGTCAAGATGGAGAAATTTTAGTAGTCCCATTAAACCTTAAATCCAAGGTGTCAATTCAAGCAACAATTGTAAACCCGCAAAATGAGTACCAAATGTCAATCAACCAATGAGTAACATTGAGAATCAAACATAGAGAATAATACTTTTATTAAAAAGGAAATATGTACATCGGTTTTTGACATTGTGAAGTCGGTTTGGATGATGTAGGTGGTGTTTATTTCCTATTTCTCTTATATTTGTTCACTTCCTCTATTGCAAATGCATAGTCCCTTCTGTTTATATTATAGATAATGTCCATGGTAAATTGTATGATTTTTAATATCTTGTCAATGACTTCTGAATTTATGTCTAGTAGCATGTACATCGTCTAAATTAGCGTAAACTTTTTTGAGAATGTCCTTCAATTCTAGCATTGCTTGAACAATAGCTAAATCAATTGGGGAAACAAAATACAATCAAATTTTATAAATATATGATAAAACTGTAACAGAAGTTGTAAATATAATGATGAAAGGAACTTTCGGCCTACCAAAAAAGGGTTTTTTAATGGGTTTTATATTCCTACAAATAGTATAACGTTTCATTTGACATTTTGTAATTTTGTGTTCATACGTTTTAGTTCCTTTGTGGAGAGTTATTGTTGTGAAGTTATTTGAAGCAATCTAAATGAGTGATTAATATTGTAGTAATATTTTGGAGAATAGGATACAAAAAGTTGGAACATCCAACCTTCTAGTTGCTTTGGTGGAGAATTATCGTTGTTGAGGTTGGTGCTGATATTCATAGTAGACTTTTGGTTGTGATGTTTTGTCAACCATTGTCAAATTAACTTGGGGAGAAGAAATGAACAATGAAGGTGTATAATATTTTGAAGAAATTAAATGAGTTTAATGTCGAATAATATATAGGAGAATAAGATACAAAGAGTGGAAAGAATAGACAATGATAATAAATACACATATCGATTGAAAAAGTGTTAATAATCTTTGGATAAGACAATATGAACAGTAGTAGACTATTCACTAATATTAAAGAAAAACGTTATAAACATTTTGCTAAGTATGCAAGTCAGAAATGTGATGATGATAATAAAATATATAGTTAGGTAGCTAAGATGGTTCGATAAGATAGTTTAAGAAACGTGGTATGGTTCAGCGTGTGCTTTGATTTAATTAAAATGGAATGAAAGTTTTTAAATATGTCATAGGAATGAATTTAGGTATACTATATTGAGGTTTGTTGAACGTGTTTATCTTTTAACATTCTCATAATTATTGTTGTCTAATATTCTATTAAATATCTATATATATGTTTGTGGTTTATTGATCATTGTAATTAAAATTTCGTTAATTCACATAAAAATATATATTGATTTGTATTATTTAAATGTGAATAGGACACAAAACAGTTGGAATGAATTGAGATATTATAATAAATAAATACGGTGATTTAATAATAAAAAGGGTGCGTTTGGTTAGTATTGGATAGGATTTAGGGATAGTATTGGGTTATTGGATAGGGGGTATTACGAGGTAAATTTTAAAAATTTGTGAAAAAGCCCTTAGGTTTATTAATTTAACTAAAGACCCTAACATATAAAATGACAAAACACCCCACCACACATGCAGTGTCAGATTCCGGCCCCCCACCGCGGAAAATTTGTTATGGAACAAACCGGTCGGATCTGTGCCGTAACACGTCGTATAGCCTTTTAGCAAGATCATGTTGGATCTGGCGGAAAAGGCAGATCTACGGTGTTATGGCATCGACGGCTGGAAAAGGCCAAACGAAGATGGCGAGGCCAAAGATGTGGCCGTGTGTTTTTCGGTCAACGACGGCCAGATCTGGCCTTTTCCGGCCAGATCCGTGGTGGATCTGGCCGGGAAGGCACAGCGGTGAACTTCAGGCATTTCTGGTCAGAAGTTAGGCGTTGTACAGATTCCGGCTATCACACGACGGTGGTTGCCGGAATCTGACAAGTTGGGTTGATGGGGGTGTTTTTGTTAATTTTTAAATTTTTCAGGGGGTATTTGTGAAATTAATAACCTTATAGGGGTTAAATGTAATTAAAAAATGGGTAATATTTTTGGAATAATGTGCCAAACATTATTTGGAGAATAGGATCAGAATAGGGATAAAAATATTAAGCCAAACATGCAGAAAATCTTATTGTACAATTTTAAAAGAAAAAGATAATAATATTTTGTTAAATATCGGTCAAGATGTCATGATGATGTCATAATATTTAGTTAGCAGTTAATTGTGGCTTGACAATATGGTTATAAAACATTTATATGGTTCGCATGGCTCTGTTTAATTAATAATGGTACGAAAGTCTTTTTAAATTTGTAATAGAAATGGTTTTTTTATAGTTTTTGTTAATAAGATTATAGTATATTAGATGATGTTTATGAATGTTTAATATTTTAACATTCTCATAAACACTTTTGTAACATTCTAAAATAACTATCATTATTAATATTGTTATGTCCTTAATAAGCTTAATTAAACCAAAGACAATACGTCTTCATTAATCGTAATACGAATATTATAGTTACATACATATTTCCAATCTTATTATTAGGAATTTAATAGGATGTATATATGTGGTTGAACTTCCTCTTTCGTTATCCACTTATGGGTACATTTTTGCTAGTTTATATACAAATATTTGATTATAATACAACAATTGCATCTGACCAAAGATTCCGCAGCCAGGGGAGTTAACTAGCTCATCTATCAACACAAATTAAGAAGTTTAAAATCTTCAATGAAATCTATACGAAGTGATGACCAAAAGAAGAAGTAATTGATAACAGTTAATACAACTCTCCTTTCTCATTGGGCTTCCACTCTCACCCTTTTGCTTCCACTTACCTATTCCTACTACCTTGTCAATATTTCCACAAAGCAAACCCGGTGGCCGCGCCCATAAACACTACCTATTCCTACTACCTTGTCAATATTTCCACAAAGCCAAACCCGGTGGCCGCCGCCTATATACTAATACAATGCCTATCTTCGGTTATATTTGAATGGTTAAATTAGCCTATAATCAATGAGCAGTGATAACAACAACAGATAATAAAATTATTATATTATATAATAACAGGAATTTCATATCATTAATATGAAAATTTCCGGAAGAAGTTTCTGGTCCCTACACTATTACTATCCACGCCAAACCAAAGACCATCAATATCAAGAAAAACTATTCTACATCTTACCAGGGTTTTACTTGGTCTGTGATGGTTACATATATTTTTTTTTCCAAGTCTAATCCAAGTCAACTTGGTATTATAATTGTAGAGAAAACGACACGTACCCACGCAAGGTTTAGTGAAAATTTCCCGGAAGAAGTTTTTGCGTCCCTACACTATACTATTCACGCCAAACCAAAGACCATCAATATCAAGAACACTATTCTACATCAATACCAAAGGGTTTACCTGGTCTGTTGGGTTACATATATTTTTTTTTTCCAAAGTCTACTCCAAGTCAACTTGGATTATAATTGTAGAAAAACGACACGTTCCCACGCAAGGTTTAGTGAAATCTAGCTTTACTCCTGGTTCTAAAGAGCCTTCAGTTTCATTCTGAGCTATTTGTTTCGCTGGTGATAACCAACTTGTGATTCAGTGTCTGACTGAATGAGTTATTGCCTAATAAAATATTTATTTAATCTTGTAATTTTGTTGCTTTTTCGTCTCTTTTTCGTGCTTGTGAGTCCATTAGTTGATATGTGTCAATCGCAACAAAGACAATCTCATTTGTTATTACTTTTTAGAAGCATAAAGATTGAATAACTCCTAATAGTATAACTAGTGAGCTTATTATGAAATGGAGGAAATCGGTTTATGGTGAAATGATGTCATTGGAGGCCCTCATGGTCAGGGCCAACAAGATTTGCCATTAAGACCACCATGACTCTTACAAGTTATGCTTTTACATGGGATTTAGATGTTTGGGTGAATGAAGCTAAGAACCTCCCCAACATGATGGTTCATAAGAGACTTGGAAAAGATTGACAAGCTTAATGTCAAGGTAAGCAGCAAATTAAGGGTCATAATGCAGGGAGACAATAAGTGGTCCTAGTCACACTCTCCCATTTTTGGTGCTGTAGTTGGGAGGACTTTCGTCATTTGTAAAAGCCAAAGACCGTTTGGATGCAGCATTCAGGTGTCCTGTTGCTCATTGCGGTGCAGAAGTACTTTGTTTTGAAAGATAGTTATGTTGTTGCTTCCGAAATTGGGGCGCTGTGGGGATACCTCTGGAGCAACTATGCTCAGGTACAAAAATGAGGGAGAGTTTTCCTATCATATCAAATGGACAGCCCTGCAAGAAGGAGCTGTTTTGAGTTTATCAATTCAGTACACTCCTATTCAGATATGAGTCTTTACACGGAACGGAGTAGTTTTAGGTCTGAGACAATGGAGCCCTGGATACTTTCCACTTACGA